ACAAGGGCCATGTCTCTGTATCTTCCCCACAATTTTGCTCTGAACCTAAAACTGCTCTAAAAAGTAATCTATTTGACAAACAAAAATCCATGCCAAAGACCTATTGTAGTTTTGTATTTTAGGTTTATAATGAAGGATTAAGGGAAGGCATACATCAAGGTCCACAATGGGGGCATAAAAATGTAAGATCAAATAATGGCATCTGATAAAATTAAACCAGTTTAATTATTTACCACTGGCAAGAATGTGCTATTGTTTCTTTAAAAAGATTAAGTGATTATGTAAATCTAATCAAATGACTTAAACTCTGATTTACACCCCCTATAATGTAATCCTCTGGTTAAGAGTGTGGTTCTAAATGTTAAGAAAAGTGCCTAGTCTTTAGAAATTCTAACAAAGGATTAAATAATGAAATTCAGTCTCCATATTTTCCAGAAAATAAAGGCCCTCAATGGTGGTTATTATGATACCAAGTTACATCCACCAGTGAATACTGTTTTGTAAAGTAAGCAGCCTGGTTAACTTTGACAAATTTTCCTCTCAAACAACTATCATAAGACCATTCATAATGGCCATCTGTTGGAATTTAAAAGAAGGTGGGTTCCAACCCACCCAGTCTCCCTAAGACTACTTGAAATTGTTCTGTCAGCTAAGGATTTGGGAAAAAGGTATTTTCCTGGGTGGTTTATCTAGTTTTGTTTGGCGTAACTGGGAGTCACATGCAGGTACCAAGCTTTTGAAATGGAGCAGTCTGAACTGATCTGTGTTTAACGGTAAAACACCTGTGGAATATAAAAAACTTAGTAAAAAAAGGAATGTATAACACCTCATTAATATTTAAAATAGTAATATGTTCAGGTAATAATGTCTTAGATGTCCTGGTTAAATATATTCTTAAATTTTATTTTAAATATTTTTAATTCCTTTTTATTATGAGGCCAGCAGAAAAATTTTAAAAGCATGCGGGGCTCAGAGTATGTTTCTGGAAAAGAACTTACTATTTAAATATTTTAATGAACAAAGGATTGAGTTGTATTTCATGAAATCTTGTGATTAAATCAAGCATGTCTCCCAAATTGTGCCTTATCTTCCTTCTTACATAGTAAGTTTCCTGGAGGAGAGGGCTCAGTTACCTTGTTTTTGTTCACCCCAAACATCGGAATCTGCTGAGGTGAAACCAAGTGTTTCATTTGAATTAAATGATTGTATTGAATCAATTGGGAACACAGGTCATGGAATGCCACCCTCTATATATTTTTAAAATCTTTAGTTTCTAGGCATAGCTTTAAAAACATTCTATTTCAATCTTACTGATTCACAGTTTATAGTTAAAAGAAAATCTGTGACAAAAAGAGAGAAAAGATTATGTTCTCATCATGGAAACACAAAGAAGTCACCCTTAGTTTAGAACAGATTACTGCATTTATTTCCTTTTTTGAGGTGTAATTTGTTATATGGTGCTGTATCTCATTGTAACTTGTCGTGACGCTTTCAAACTAGGAAAGGAAGCTAGATCTTGAAGGATCTAAATAACACAAATAAACTCAATCTGATCATTTAAAAGAGGCAGAATGCAAGGAACTGGTTAGACTGCTAAAGAAAGAGCTGCAGAAAGGCAATGGAAATAATTCAATGCCCATTTATTGTTTTTAAATACTTATAAGCAAAGAAGAAACAAGTAAGCAAATAAGGAATGAAATAAGAATATCTGCTACCACCACTTATATTGAGCACTATGATGATGTCCTATTCCATGCAAATAGACAAGAAAATGAAATACATCTTATAACAGTTTTCAAGAAATAAATATATTATAATTTGCATTATTAACATTACATGACTGTGTAATTGGAAAATTTCCTGAAATCTATCATTAGTGTAGTTAGGAAGAAATTTAACCAAGTGTATTTCTTGTGCATTTCTTTTTTTTTTTTTTTGGTTCTCTTTTTCCCCTTTCTTCCCCTAAGTAACCAAATGTATTTCTATAATAAAAATCTAAAAGTTTCATACAGCTTACCATAAAACATGTACATTTTATTAGGGCATCAGCCCCCAGTGTTGCTTTCTATACTTTGTAAACCTAGTCAGCCACTCTATCTCTCTCCACATAATCTGGTCAGCCACGTCACCTCTTTCTGATAATGTTGGCCAACGTCAGAAAGTGGGTGTGGCCTTAGGTGTGTGGAATCCCTTAAAAGGCAGGTTTACTTCAGAGGACACTTCTTCTCTAGGGTAGACCGACACAATCTGTAGCTGCCAGGAGAGCGGAGGGACTTCCTACTGACCCTGATATCGACAGAATTTCCAGAGGTGAGACCACTCATAGAGACTCTCGTGAGTATAGAATTTAGGGTAAATATCTCCATGTCTACTTTCTCTTATACAAATGCTTTTGATTTACATGTTGGAGTGATTGGGTCTCCTCCAAGCAAACAAGTAGCTCCCCTAATCATCTAAAATGATCGAAATAGATTGAATGATTCCTAGTCTATATTTGTGCTTCTGGACCACTCAGCTTGTTTAAGTCAATTAGTGATAATTGAGATAATTGTTTTCTTTTTTAAATTTTTAAAAATTTATTATTTTATTGTTCAAGTGCAGTTTTCTGCCTTTTCCCCTCACCCCTCCCGACTGCACCAGCCTTCCTCACCTTTCTCCCCTGTTTCCTCCCCCACCCCTTGTCATTTTCCATATGTCCTTTATAATTGTTCCTGTAAACCCTTCACCCTTTTCCCTCATTATACCCTCCCCATTCCCCTCGGGTCACTCTCAACCTGTTCTCAATTTCGATATCTTTGTATATGCTTTGCTTGACGTGTTCGTTTTGTTGATCAAGTTCCTGTTCATGGTGTTTTTCTTTCACTGCCTGGCTTATTTCACTTAGCATAATGCTCTCCAGTTCCATCCATGCTGTCACAAAGGGTAGAAGCTCCTTTCTTTCTGTTGTGTAGAATTCCATTGTGTAAATGTACCGTAGTTTTGGGATCAATTCATTTACTGATGGGCACCTAGGTTGCTTCCACCTCTTGGCTATTGTAAATTGTGCTGCTATGAATATTGGGGTTCATAGGTTCTTTTGGATTGGTGTTTCAGGGTTCTTAGTATATAATTGTAGAAGTGAAATTGCCTGATCAAAAAAGGCAGATCCAGTTTTAGTTTTCTAGAAATTTTTATAAATGTTTCCATAGCGGCTGCACCAGTCTGCAATTCCACTAACAGTGCAGTAGGTTTCACTTTTCTCCACATCCTCTCCAACACTTGTTGTTTGTCGCTTTGTTTATTATGATGGCCATTCTGACTTGTGTGAAGTGGTATCTCAGTGTGCTTTTAATTTACAACTCTCTGATGGCTAGTGATACTGAACATCTTCTCATGTGTCTCTGGACCCTCGTTATGTCCTCCCTGGAGAAGTTTCTGTTCAAGTCCTTTGCCCTTTTTTAAATTGCATTTCTTGTCTTCTTAGTGGGGAGTCATTTGAGTTCTTTGTATATTTTGAAGATGAAACACTTGTCTGAGGTATCATTGGCCAATATGTTTTTTCATACAGTTGGTTCCCTTTTCATTTTAATGCTGTTTTCTCTAGCTGGGCAGTAGCTTTTAATTTTGATGAGATCCCATTTGTTTACTCTTTCCTTTATGTCCCTTGCTCTGGGGGACAGATCAGTGAAAATACTGCTGCATGGAATGTCTGAGATTTTTCTGCCTATAGGACTGTAATGGTGTCGCAACTTATATTTAAATCTTTTATCTGCCTTGAGTTTATTTCTGAGTATGGTGTAAATTGGCAGTTGAGTTTCATATTTTTGCATATAGATGTCCAACACCATTTGTTGAAGAGGCTATTTTTGCTGCATTTTATGCTGCCTCCCCCTTTGTCAAATATTAATTGACCAAAGAGGCTTGGGTTTATTTCTGGGTGCTCTATTCTGTTCCATTGGTCCATGTACCTTTTTTTTATGCCAGTATCAGGCTGTTTTGATTACAGTGGCCTTGTAATACATTTTGATATGAGGTATTTTGATCCTTCTGCTTTGCTCTTCTTTCTCAAAATTGCAGCTGCTATTCAGGGTCATATATAGTTCCATATAAATTTTTGAAGTGTTTGTTGTATATGTGTGAAATATGCCATTGGTACTTTAATAAATATTGCATTGAATCTGTAAATTGATTTGGATAGTATGGACATTTTGATGTTGTTAATTCTTCCAATCCATGAACATAGTATATGTTTCCATTTGTATGTATCTTCCTTAATTTCTTTCTTCAGTGTTGTATAGTTTTCTGAGTACAGTCCTTTTACTTTCTTGGTTAGATTTATCCATAGGAATTTTATTTTTCTTTTTGCCATAATAAATGGGAATTTTTCCCTGATGTCCATTTCTAATGTTTCATTGTTGATATACAAAAATCTCTTGATTTCTGGATATTGACTTTTTATCTTGCTGTTTTACTAAATTTATTTATTAGGTCAAGCAGTTTCTTTTGCAGAGTCTATAAGATTTTCTGTTTACACTGTCACATTATCTGCATACAATGACAGTTTTGTTTTCCTCTTTTCCAATTTGGATATCTTTTATTTCTTGTTTTTGTCTGATTGATGTGGCTAGGACTTCCAATGTTATGCTGAATAGAAGTGGTGTAAGGGGACAAACTCGCTTTGTTACTGATCTTACTGAGAGAGTTTTTAGGTTTTGCCCATCGAGTATGATGTTGGCTGTAAGTCTCTCACAATTGGCTTTTATTGTATTGAGGAATGCTACCTCTCTTCCCAGAAAGATGCTGAGGACTCTCTTGTCTCATTGTTTCACTTGTATCAGGAAAACACTCAACCTGTCTATATTTACTGGGACTAGGTTTGTACAGGAAGTAAGTTAATGGGTAAATCAGGTTCCTATTTAACAGGTAGAATAGAGCTCAAGTAGGCAAGACTTTCTCCAAAAACTTTTCTTTCCTCATCTGGGTAAAATGACTTTCTCTTTCTTATTTTAACTTTCAGAAACATGGATTCAGATACCTCATCAGCCTTTCAGAATAATCTCACTTGCTCCATCTGTATGAACTACTTCCTAGACCCTGTCACCATAGACTGTGGGCACAGCTTTTGCCGTCTCTGCCTGTACCTCAGCTGGGAGGAGGCCCAAAATCCAAAGCGCTGCCCTGAGTGCAGAGGAGTCTCAGAGAAGCCAGATTTCAAAACCAACATTGCACTAAAGAGCCTGGCTTCCATTGCCAGAGAGGCCAGAGCTAACTACATCAAGAGCCCTGAGGAGCAGATCTGTGTGGCACACAAAGAAGCAAAGGAGCTCTTCTGCAAGGATGAGAAGGACCTGCTCTGTGCAGTCTGCTCTGAATCCCCAGAGCATGCGGCTCACAGCCACAGTCCAATACAGTGGTCTGCTGAGGAGTACAGGGTAGGTGCAATGTGATAGGTATAAGCTCCAAAATGAGAGAGGAAGATGAAAATGATGATAAGGAAGGGGAAGACAATGGACATAGTGGAGATGGTACTGTTTCTATGTAAATTCCAAATTACAAGTGTAACTGGGCAATGCTATTAACCAACTTGGGCACTATAATCAAAGTAGTGTTGAGCCTTTACTGAGGTACATTGCTTTCAAAGTACTGTCTAAGTATGTAGAATTGGTGCAGTTGTGGGGAGGGTGGCCAGCACCAGGAACACTGGCTTCTGATGCAAATTGTACCTGCTTATATCAGGATATGTGAAAATCTGGTTGCCAATTTCTTAATAAATGAATGTTACCTGCAGGGTCCCCCCAAACTCTTTCTTGTATGTTTCTGTCACCTCTGATATTCCAAACATTTGAATCAAATTAAATGAATGTGGAGAAAACCAGACCTCTCCATTTTAATTCATGGTGACTTTTCCCAGGAACTGCCTTTAACCATAAATAAGGGAATAACATTTACAGTATCATCTTTTTGTCACTAAATCTTATGGTTATTTTGAAGGAGGAACTTCAAAAGAGAATGAACTCTTTATGGAACTTGACTCAAGAAATGAAAAACAATCTGACGGAAGAAGCTAAGAAAACCAAGTCATTAAAGGTACAAATAAATATGTTCTGTTTATTTTTATATTTTTATGCAGGTTGAAAAAGGCTGGCTTAGATTTTTAGCCAAATTCAAGTTACTAGTTACAGTATAATGGTTTCGGCCTATGAAAAGGCAGTCGGTTTTAGTAATATATCAGTAAATACATATGTACCAGCCAAAAAATACAAAGTCAGCCAACAGAAGCTACTGGAAGGAATATGAACACAGTTAAGTTTTGGACAAGCAGAGGGCTTGCAATTGTCCATATATAGCTGAACTGTCCCAGAATTTCATCATTCTTTCTTATGTGCAAGGCATTGTCTTCAGCACCCATAAATACCAACTTTCAAGGATGTTCACATCTTTTATATAAAATGGTATAAATTAATGCATACAGTTGGCCATCTGCATTCATGGGTTTCTAATTTTAGATCAAAAATATCATCTTTGATATGGAATGGGCTGAATCCATGGATTGGAGACTCACAGATACAGACAGTCAGCTGTGTATTTATTGAAATAAAATCAGAGTATTAGTGGGCCCTCATAGTTCAAATCTATGTTCAACGGTCAACTGTGTATGCTGTGAGCAGGGTTGATAGGTATTCCTGGTTCAATTTTCAAGCTTTGGTAAATCTTTCTCAAACTGGGTGAAAGACAACAACATATTAAGTTTGACTCCAAAGGACAGGAGAAAAATAAAGCAGTACATAGAGTAAAGAGTAGAGAATTTTACAAATAATTATAATATGGCATATACTTCAATATTGTTAAATATGTAGAAAAGCACACAAAAGAACAAGAGAGAAATAAGGTAACAGGGAGGAGATAATTAGTAGAGTAAGAACCTTCAAGTAGCATCAGAGAGAGAGAGCCTGGGGCCCTTTGGAGGGATTAATTTAACAGGGAAAAAAGACTGGGATCAAAAGGTCAGGATAGACAGAAGGACTAGCACATACCCAAGGCACTTGGAGGCATGAGGCAGAAAGTTCATCAAGTCCTTTTTTGATGAGTCTGAGGGAATATTTCAAGTTTGAAGTTTTCTACTGAGAGTGGAGACAGGTAATGTCTTTGTTCCACTATCTGTGCAGGACTACATGGCCAGTAGGAGGGTGATGATCAAAGCTGAATATCAGAAGATGCATCTGTTTCTCTGTGAGGAGGAGCGACTCCATCTGAACACCATGGAGAGAGAAGCAAAGGAGATCTTCCAACAACTCAAGGAGAGTGAACTCAGGATGACCCAGCAGAAAGAAAGCCTGAAAGGAATGTTGAGAGAGCTGACTGACATGTGCCACAAGCCTAACCTGGAGCTGCTCCAGGTGAGAAGGGAGGGTCGATCCTCAGAGACAGGAATCCTCTTCTGGGCAATGTCAGCCTAACATTGAAATGTTGCCTGCATATAGGATACCATTACCCTCAGCTAAGCATTAATGCTCCTTGGCTCCCATGATCAAGCCAGTCCAGTCAGTCACTTATTTACTCATATCCTTTTAATAATGATTTAAGTATAATCCAAAGTAATATCTACTCAGAGAGTGTCCAAAATCAGTCAGTGTCTGACCAGGGAACATTAACTTTGCTGTGGTAATTCTCTATTTATGTTCCCATAATCCACTGTCACTCTCTGTTATCCACACAAAAGCAACCTGCTAAAGACATTGAGGTTTTGCCCTTTTCGTAGGCGAGATTTATGGAATGTGGTAATCAATTTCAATGCTCTCTTTGTTGTTCATATGGTTCACTGTTTTGCTCTAATTGTTATTGTAAGTGGTTGGATCTTTTCTTGGGAATAAGATGGGGCAATGAGTGAGACTGGAAAATTAGAACTTGTTGCATCCTCTCACTTTTCTGCCTGAACTCCTTCCACCCTCAGTGCACCCTGAGGAAACTCAGCGTGTTTTAGTGTAAGTTCTGTTATTAAGATACCCTCTGGCCCTGCCTGGTGTACCACAGTGGCTTGAGTGTAGGCCTGCCAACAAAGGGTTGCCAGTTCGATTCCCAGTCAGGGCATATGCCTGGGGTTTGAGCCAGATCCCCAGTAGCTGGTGCTCAAGAGCCAACAACACATTGATGTTTTTCTCCCTCTCTTTCTCCTTCCGTGCCCCTCTCTCTCTTAAAAAAAAAAAGCTTCTGATTGTTCCTTAAAACAGAATAGGAAAAAATACTTTACTGAAAGAAACTCTGAAAACTATTAAAACATACTAGAAAAGGCTTAAGAGCCAGAACTCATATGTTTATCTTCTCTTTTTGTTTGTCTTGCAGGATTTGGGAAATATATTGGAAAGGTGAGTTTATACTGATGATTTGTAAAAAATCATTGTCTTCTTCATGAAGTGGGTGTACAATTTTCAAGGTAGAAACCTTGTCCGCTGTGGCCATTTTCCGTTTTGTTTAAAAAACTAACAAAGTCCTGAAGCACTCTTGTCTGAGAAGATTCTTCCTTATGAGTCTGAATTTCTACACAGGTAAATGCCATCTCACCTTCTGGGCTTGGTTCTAGTCACTCACCGCCATCCTGTCCAGACATCTCAGTAAAAGTCTCTGAATGTATTTTGGTAAGGTAGTAGGGAGATGGAAGGTGAAAAGGACAGGAAGAGGGAGCTTTCCTATGAGTAGGATAGGAGAGGGGGGCCTTGCTTTTGTTCCCAAGAGTAGCAATAACTCAGCCTGTTCCATCACTGCATGTCCCTCCTTGTAGGTAAGCACTTCAGGGGGGAGTGACCTCCTGGTGCCCTCAGGAAGTCCTACCTTCAGCAGCAGGACTTTGAGGGTAGAGATTTTTACTTGCTTGGCAAAAAAAAAAAAAACAAAAACAAAAAAACCAAAGATGTCTGGCTCTGTAGATACTTCCCTTTTGGACACTGAGTGTTTCATTGGCAACCACCATGTTTTGCTGTGTATAATGCTCTTCCATGTATAGTGCATACCCATGTTTTTGGCCCAGATGTTCAGAAAAAAAATCTTTCGCTTTAATTTTTTAAAACCCTTTTTATTTATTTATACTTAGAAACAAAACAGATGATCATTTTCCAGGGTATTATATTGCATATAGCTATTTTCAGGCTATTTTTGTTGCTTTCTAAAGTTACACTTCTAATATATGAGCATAAATAAAATAATTTAAAACATTTATATAGATATAGAATTAGTACTATTCATGTACAATGAGCATCTTTATTTTTCCCTCAGTGGTTTGGGAAAAATACAGTACTTGCAGACTCGAGTCGCACAGGCTTTTCCTGAATTTTCTGCTCTCTGTAAGATACACAGGAGTCTTGCATTCTCTGAGGTAGAGTAGAGGGAGGAAATGATTCTCAATTTTAGAAATGAAATGATATCTGTAAAAAAGAGTGAAGTTGAAATTTGATATAATTTCAATTTATTTTAAAAAGTAACATTTATTAATGCCCAAGGTGTGAAATACAATGTATTCCCAATTAACTCAGAATGGGAGGATTCTGGTGAAATATCTTGGATAACAAGCTGTGATTTTTGTAATGATTGTGTGATTAACCTTTGGCCCTAAATCCCTCCACTGTCATTCTTTACAGAACTGAACCAGTGCAGATGCAAAAGCCTCAGCCAGTGAATCCAGAGCTCACTTTATGGCACGTCACTGGAATCCCAGATATGCTAAACACCTTCAGAGGTAAGAGTCAGCCCTTTGGCATCAGGCCTCCATTTCTTCTGTGGCTCTTCAGACTGAGTCTTCTGTTTTAATTATTTAAATTTTTTCTGACATGAAGGTAGTTTGTGACTTTCCAAAACTGTTATCCTCCTCCTTTATAGTCACATTACAATGACCGAGGCTGAACTTTGCAATTTATAGAATATTAAAAATATGAGGCAAGATACCTTTTTAAATTACATTTGATGTAGACCTTGAAGAAGACTAGAAGACTAGGAAAAGAGGAATGAGATTGGTCATGTGGTTATGAGGAAATAGAATATTTAGTTCTCAAACTAACAATCAATATTATACTTGATTCAGTCTCAATCATTCTTGAAAGTTTCAATATGGCATTGATGGTTTTTAATCTGTTGTATATTGCAAGTGTATTTATTATTCATTGCACAAAAATATTTGTGCAATTATTCATAAGATTGGCGAGTGAAAAAAATAACTGAACTTGTCATAAGCACAATAATTTTAATGCTGTTAGATCAATTTCAAAACCACTGGCAGGAGAAGGATCTGTGAGCATGGCCCCACCACACAAGGTCCCTCCTAGACAGCAGGTCTAGTCCCCGAGGGCTGAAATCAGGATCAGACTGAATGTGAGGTCTAAACAGATCATGTAAAGCCAGAACATTCCCTTCAGGCACTTCTAATTTATCCATGATGCAAATTTCTGTCCAATATTTTGATTCTTAGATATGTAACAGGTGTAACTTACATTCCAATAATTACCCTCAAATAGCCAATTGCTATGTATTCGTTAAACATATCAAGGACAATTATCACAAGAAGAGATTTCTAAAGTGACAAAAGAGGTTTAGGTGTGACCTGAAACAAACTATCTGGGGATTGAGATTAAATCACTGCTTTACACAGTTTGTAATATATGCAGAGGGTTTTTGGTTTGCTGTGTTATTTTCTGTATAATTTAAAGGATATCTGTGCCGTAGAGGTAGGGATAACTTTTGCTCTTGGTAGAGGAGCCAGTCTCACCTCCCTTTACCATCTTTATTTGGTATTTCCTTAGAGGGGGGCGAATGAAGAGACTGTCTCTCAAGGCATGGAAATTCGTTTCATTGACCTGATTTTTTGCCTCTTTTGCAGTGGACAATGTTCTGAGTGCAGAAACCATCAGTCGCAGTATAAGCCTTCATAATGGTGTTAGTGTGATGTTTGGAGGTGATCATGAAGGCACATCCAGAGAGCCCCAGAGAGTGCACAGTTTTGCAGCATGGGGAACTCATACCTTCACCTCTGGTAGACATTACTGGGAGGTGGATATGCTGAAGCACTCGAGGTGGATTCTGGGAGTCTGTAAAGATTCCCTGTTGAGTGATACTGATATTATTGCTGATTATGAAGAAGCTTCTCTTCTATTTTCTTGGAAAGTGAATGATCATTATTATCTCTCCACTAACTGCCCATCCTTCACTCAGTATTCGAAAAGGCCTCTGGGTAAGATTGGAGTGTTTTTGGATTATGACAATGCAACAGTGAGCTTCTATGATGCTGCAAACAGTTCCCTCATATGTAGTTTAGTTTCTTTTTCCTTTTCTTCCCCTCTGAAGCCTTTCCTATGCTTTGATTCTCCATGAGATGTTAAGCTTTGGCCACTTATTTCATACAGTTTCACATCTAAGGAAACTATTTTTATGAAATGTCTTGTGAGGCAGCAGGTTGATACCTGAGTGCCTCGGAGCATATTGTAACTTCAGGACACATAATTATTGTATGTTTCTAACATGGCATAACCACATTGAATGTATAAATGTGTTTATTAATTTTTTAATAAAATGTTTACAATAGAGAGCTTCCTAGAATATAGTCAAAGGCTCGATGGCATTTTTTAAACTGACAGCTGTATTATGAGAAGTTATGTAGCATGTCACCCACCACATCTCAGCTAATATGATCATTTTTAAAGGATGTCATCTCTGACCCTACAGACCACTGCAGTTCCTCTTAATCCAAACTCTCTGAGCACACTATACCATGTCCTCATAATAGTCAGCAAACTTTCATCAAATTGGTAGATGCTTATTACCACTAGACTGAAAATTGTAAGAGTAGGATGTGTTAGTTACTATTTCCACTACCCACTGCTGTAGTCATGATACAGGGTGCAGCCAAGAGGGGGGCCCCCAATAGAGATTTGGAATGGGGTCCAGAAATCAAGGTGTCTAGGAACTATTAAAAAATATATGAGATATCCTGACCCCTTCTCACCCAATAGGTGTGAGTTGGGGAAAGGGACACATGGAGCAGGAACATGCAGAGCTGTTTTGTACAGCCACAGCTTTGCAGCCAATCCATGGCATGGTCGTTTAACATACCTATAACCTTTAACTGGTTGCATAGATATGTGAAGTAGCTGTGGCCATGCTCTGTGCCAGGAAGATGAAAAGGGACTCCCCCCACAAGATGTAACTTGGGGGCATGTCCCCCAGGTTATGACGCCTGCGTGAGAGCTTGGAGAAGATTGTCTCCATGACATGGAGCCACACCCTCCCAGAGTCATGATGGCAGCCCAGTAAACTTGGAATAATACAGAAATACTGGCAGGTATCCCTGAGTGTAGGAGGAGTTGGAAATGGAGACAGAGAAGAAGAATGTCATGGGGATTTATGCAGACACAGCAGCCATTGAGGGGGAATCACCATGCGGCTGTGGCAGAGAACCCTCACTCGGCTTTGGCAGAGTGGCGGCCTGCCCCGCCCCCTGCTCCCCTCTGCTTTGCTTAAAAGAACCATGTGATTTTGGCCAGAGTGGGCACCCATGCAGCTTTGGTAGTGAGGACCATTCAGCTTTAGTGTACTCCCTTTTGTCATGTGGCCTGGGAAGCAGGAGAGACTTTGCCTGGAAGAAAATGGGTACCAAGAACTCTTGCCAGTAGGCCATGAGAAAATGTCATGTGGCTTTGCATTAATTTGAGACCCTGTCTGGATGGTGACAAAGCTGGTGGTGCCGGCAGCCTGAATCATGAACGTTTGCCTCTTTTTCTGAGATATGGTACCCGAGTTAGGGCAGGGGGAGAAGGAATCACCCTGGGCAGCTGTGGGTATCCAAAAGGACTTTGATATGCTAATGAGGACATTAGATCACTACTCTAAGTCTGTATAGCATTATATACACATTTTCTTTTTCTTTGTTTCTTTTCTTTTCTTTTTTTTTTTTTTTTACAAATCTCTGGCATTGAGAGACATCTTTCCTATGGCCACAGATAATCGAACCTAAAGGGGAGTCCTTTTGGTCATGGTATATGTACCCCCTGGGCCCTGTGTGTGTATGTGTTCTGTAACACTTAGAACATAAATCACAATAAATATAAGGTGAACCTGCAATTTAGTGAAGGAGAAGAACAATAAAAATAAAAACCAAACAACACTGTGTGATGGTGAAAGAGAGAGTGAGCAGGCAGCTTGTGTCTGCGTTTGATCTTCTGTCTCCCATTCCAGCACTCACGGCCTTGAAGAGGATACTAAATGAATTAACAATGATGCATGACCACCATGACTGGAACACACATGTGCACACACACCTGGTCTCTGTGCTTAGAGAGTCTCTAGAGTGGCTGCCTCCCACATAGAAATAGCACTTCCTCACACCAGTGGGAAATCAATGGAGTTTAAACTCAACTTGCATAATTTTATCAGTTTTTTATATCAGCCTTTAAATCCTGAAACTTTTAAGCAAAATTCCTTTCAAGTAAGGTAATTCTCTTCTCCATTTATTTATTTATCCACCAATTTGCTAAGCAGCCTTGATGTCCTAGCCATCACGTTAGCTGCTAAGAATGCAGCTGTAAATAGACACACTTTCTCCCTTTATCTGTTATCATTTATTCTGTTGAAAAAGAAAAGGACCAGCTTATCTAGGTTCTCTAAAATGAAGGCTTATCCTGCTTCTGAGCATCTGTGGAAACTGTCTCATCAACTCCGTTTTTCCCTAGAAGGTGAGTGGACCAGTAGGACTAACTACACAAAGAGGAAGAAGGAGGAGGAAGGTGCAGACTGGCACAGCATGACAGACTAACCGTATATGTCCAAAATATGCAAAATTTGCATCCCTGCATTTTGGCCATGAATAGTAACTGTACAGTGCTATATATTTTGATGACTCCAGCATGCTCACAAAACATAAAAAATCATAGCATATATTCAAGATAAAAGGCCGTCACATGTGATTTTAATGTCAAGAAAATAAAACTAACAGAATTTTGCATTTTGTACTATCTTTATCTTGATAAACAGCAAAAGAAGGTTACATTAAAGTAGAAAAAGCATAAAAAAATATAAAGTATCACTGATAGGCTTCAGCTAAGAAGGGCTTCCTCAGAGTAGATGTCCCAGGGTCAGGGCCAGTTCCCTGACTTAGCCCTGCTTGTGTGTAGCCAGTGTGTAAATGAAAGACCTAAAAAGAACATTGAACCTGTCCTCTAGACACCTCTGAAGTGGGGAAGGTGTAATGAGGGAATGCTTTATGAAAGAACACTTCACAACATCCACAAAACTTATACCCCCACTGTCCACATTAAGAAACACACCAACTCTGCCCAGAGGTCTCTCTATGTACTGACAAGTCAGTGGGGCAGAGGTCCAGACCGTGTGGCGATTTTCCTCCTTCACACTTTAAAAGAGAAATGCATCCGGAGAGTCAATCAGCGTGCCATTCTCCCTCAGCTGGGTCTCTGTACAGACCCCTACAGCCCAGGCCCAAGACTTGTCCATGTGCAGTTCCCAGTAATGTTTGCCAGAGGTGAAGACCTGCACTCAACATACAGCAAAATAGTTTGATGTTCCAGGAGCCAGAGACACATATAGATGACCATGCATAAACTTCAGACTTCTCAGACTGCAAACACCCGGATAATTGCAATTGGTTATTTCACTAGTGAAAGAAATGTCCGCTGTGAAGAAAAAATATTCCCGTCAAAATCAGTGTTAAAAATAAAATTGTCTATGAGAAAAAGCATCTCTCTCCCTAGAGTCTCACTGGGAAGAGAACATTCCAACATTATTAGAAGGGCAGTTCTGAATAGAAAATATTGGATTCAAGTGATGCTAACAATATCTCCTGAAGACACAAATATCTAATTATAATAGAAAAAAATCTTCCTAAAAATCAGAGATGATAAAGGAGAAGGTCATGTCTACTTCTGACTGGTTACTTTTTATGACACCTGAAAAGCTGGACAGCTGGGGAATGCCACCAAGTCCATAGCAATAAAACTTATCTCTATCACTCCTTCTTGGAGGACAAAAATAATTTTATGCTAAATAAAGGGAGATTACTTTTCCAGGATATGATAATATTCCAGTTGATAATATTTCAGTTAGTTAAGTGAGTTGTCACTAAAGAAGGAACCTAAAAGCCTTCTTAGAAGTGATTTCGTACTGTCTGCCTCTGATAACTGACTGGTTCCACCTGAGAATTTCCTCTTCCTCTTCCTCTTCCTGACATATGACCCTCCAGGTTCAGGTTTACCATGGACCTCTATGCATGGCCTTGCCAACCACCAATTTCCTTTATTGTTATTATTCATAAAATCTACATTTCTGCATTTAGGTTTTTTTACACTTATGATTATTTCTGATCACAGCCATTGTAATCAGAAATCCACACTTCGTAAGTCCAATTACTAAAACTATTTAAAACCTAAGTCACCGCTGTTGCTTTAAATTGGAATATCTTGAACTGCCATCTAGTTTTCTATGCCTCAGTGAACAACTGACATTTTATGTGATGATATCTCTAGGACTCAAGAAGCCCTTTTTTGGTTCATGTCTTTTTTCTCATTATATAAGTAACTTATCATATTTACAAGTAATTGATAAGGACTGAGTCACATCTATCATTACAGTAATTTTGATTTTATCTTTTACCACATTATAGTGACTCCATGACTAACTAGGACTATACATGCCACTCAGCAGGTTGTTCTCCTCTGCAAGAAAGAGGAAACAATCATCCACAAAAAAAAAAAATCAGAATTGAACACTTTCAGGTGGTGCCACCAATGGGGCAACACTCACCTTGGGAGCTTTTGAGCCTGTCCATCAGTCTAGTAATGGGCAGTGCAGGGAGTTTGGGCCACAGAGGCTGAGGCATGTGCAGCTGCACCTGCTCACTCCTGTAAAGAGGAAGATGCAATTAATCTTTTGGTGCCATCATCATTCAACTGAATGTTCTTCATCACAATCCTTTCGTGGGTTAGGGTTGTACTATTCTTAGGGAATCTCTCTTATTTTTCTTCTTCACCTGCTTCCACCCCCATTTCTCAGAGGTACTTGCCACACTTACTTAATTCTGGGTAAATCTAGTTTTGCTCTTTTATTTCTTGTTGATTGTGAAATAAAAAACCATAATTGACCAGTCTTATAGAAAGGTTTGCAATGAGCCTGACAAAACATAGCTCCCTCAGCCACAGATGTGAAAAAATACTCACTTCTGATCAAGAACATAAGGAAAAAATATACTGCAAAACACATGCAAACAGATGAGCACAGAACAAGTGAAAATACTCTGAGAAATTATATCTTCACTTTGTTCAAAGTAGCCGAATCTTTTTCATGGCCCTCATGAATCCCAGTTAGCATTGAAGAACAAACTCACCTTCTCAGTTCGTCTCCTAACTCATGTCAAGAAAGGAAAGAGAAACTTAGGCTTCTTCAGAAGTAGGATATTCTGCCGAACCAGTCTGAGTTTTGGGAGGATTGGACAAGTACTAATACTACCACTTGCAAACTGTCTTGAAAATTTATTCTCCTTTTCCTCCCTAGAGATAATCTTGACCATATCTTGTCAGAATCTGAATTCTTTTGTAAATGATTTTTAAATTAGTTTTTGATTTATGTATCATTGGTATATTATTATATATTGCTTTTATTAATTTAGGGTGTACAGTATTAACGATTCAACATTTTTATTCCTTACAATGTCATCACAACATTAAGTCTGGTAATCCTCTGTCACCGTGTTTACTTAATTAAAACAATATTATTGACTATATTCTCCTTCTCTTTTTACCCATTCCCCTGGACCCCTACTTTTGGTAACCATCTCTTCTGTTTTTATGTTCTTGAAAAATCCAGAACACTGAGTGTGAAAAGAGGGAACTGTCTGTTCATTGCTGTTACTCTCAGCTCTGTGCCCAGGAGTCTCTCCTAAGGCTTGTCCTGAGAGAGTAATATGCCCCAAATTAATGGCAAATGAAACCAATAACATTACATGAGAAGCAGGAAATATATGGAAGCTTTCACAAAATGTTTCTACATTATCCACTTGCAGACCAGAATTGGCATAATCAATAAAATAAAAAACATATAAAAAAAAAGACCTTGAAAAAGTTTTTCTATTCTGGTGTTTACTGGAGGAAGAAACTAAAGTAGATTTTGAGAAGGAAAATATTCCTCATGGAAGTTCCATAATCACAATTCCATAAGGTTTGTTTGTGCACGGTCAGGTCAACTAATAATAAAATTATATTAGTCCCAAGTGGGAGCTGCTCTCCACCATAGATGCAGGAGATGAAATATATCTTTGGTATCAAATACATAATGGAAGTGTATTTCCATCAATGGTGTGAGCTTCTAATAATATAAAATATTCCCAGGCAAACACTCCATTCTTACCTTAAGCAACTCTACATCTGGTTTCAGAAACATGTTCACGAGCTCGTCATACATTGCTCTTAGATTGATCTTCTTTTCAGCCATTTCAGCCTCAAGTTTCTCAAGTTGCTCAAACATCTTTGAGCCTTCCTTAATAAGACTTTCTCAATATTGTTTTTTCTCCCTCATGGAGAACCAGTTGCAATGCCTCAGAAATATACGTCTGCAGAGAAATGGATTTCCTAGGTCATATACTCGGGCCGACCTTACCCACCTCCACTGAAACAGCAGCTGCTGTACTGATTCATGCTCTCTACCAATAAGCTTCACGTGTCCTAAGTTTAGATCCCCCACTTGTCAGAAACCATTCATTCATTCCTCTTTCCTTCATTTATTTTCCATTCTTTTAAAGTATACCAAAAGCCAATTATGTGCTTCCCTCAAACTACCTCCACCCACTAAATGAACTCCTGAAAGAACTGGAAGAAAGCCTCTCTTTGATCATGTCTTTCACACTTAGCCTCTCAACTCTGAAAGACTGCATGCAAGCCATTAAAATTCAGTGTCAATTAATCAATTGTTACATGCATTATTCTGACTTCTGTGTTAGTAAATTTGTCTCTATGTTATACTCTCCCTATTCTTAGAAGTATTATTGCATTTTACTCCCAGGATTAGGATCCATCAAAAAAGATCTTCCTGAAATTCTCACTACCTTCCCTCAAACTGAGGTCCATCCTCCCAGCCCTTTTCTCTGCCCTCTTTTTCCCTGTGCATTGCTCTTGTCCTCCATCTAAAGCCACAGGCTCCCTATGGTTTTAAAGAACACTGATTCTTACTCCATTGACTATTCCCTCACCAAAGTTCTTCATTCACTATCTCACTCTCCAATCTCAGTTTTTTCTTTACTTCTTTCACTATGCCTCCTTTATTTTTAAAATATTACACTTTCTTTTACTGGAAACACTATCATTCTCTAGCTCCTGTAATTCTCAACACCACAAATACACATCTTAAACTGCTGTTCACAGTTCCTTTTCCCCTCCTGACTGTGTCAGCCTGATTCAGAGGGAAATACAGTCTCACACTTACCATCCAAAAGACAGATATTCTGCCATCTTTACTGAGAGTTCTTTGAATTTCTTGAATCTTTTTTCATAAAGAAAAAGCTTCTCACAGTGGCTAAAGTGCAAGATTCTGGGGAGCTTGGGGGTGTACAATTCAGCAAGTTCTGCAAGAGCAGCACCACAGCTGCTGCTCTCATGTTCAGTGAGGCCTGTGGTGGGCAGGGCCAGACTCTTCACTGGCTGCCCTGTCTCAGACCTAGGGCCAGTGACCGCTTCTTGTCTCCGCTACTCTATTCTGTGGAGTTCTCTTTACCTTCTACTAGACAGCCCCTCCTTGTTTCATGCTTTTTTTTTA